CAAAAATTCATGAATAGATTGCACAAATCATTGTGGAAAATGAGAAAGAAGTCAATACCCCGAAACAGACATTTCATTTATTTTAGATGATGTGATTTCCTTCGAATGCGACCTTTTGATCCGTGTTATTACTGCGTTCGGCTTGGTTCACTCCTGCTTCCATCGAATGGGTTAATAATGACGTTGTGAATAATATAACTGAAACCGTTTTATATTATGGTGGGCGCTGTACGCTGAACTTGTGGTTAGTCTAATACTGCGAATGAATGGAGGAATATCTGGAATTAAAATTAGATTATTGGGTTAGAAAAACTCCCCTGAATAAAGGTGGGTAGTTTCGGGGTAACTAGACACTTAAAACTTATTACCTGATGCAATGTGCCAATATTGAGCTGAGGACACCATAAAAATTTCATACATAAACGATTCGACCCCCAGTTGGGTCGATGGATTCGCAATGCTGATGAGGCCCAACCAGGTCAAAACAGCTGTACAGTGCTGTCTAGCTTTGCAGTTCACGCTTCATTTGTTCTATATACGACAAATTCTCGCTATGAAATCATGGAATATTATTCTTTTTTATAAAGATTACTGTATCATTAGTTGTTTGGCACACAGACAGACGTGTATGTAATATATATATATATATATAATTGAATCAAATCCTCCTGTACTCTCATGTAACGTAAACGATACACAGGACGGCATAGTTAAATCCCGTTATAAGTCAGGAGCACATAATTATAAATACTGAGGACAAGCAATGGGACTGACGTACTTTTCCTCGATCCGGTTTATGTTGTCACAAAACTCCCAACCGATTTTTCATACTACCTGATAGGATCTACTACTGACTAACAAGCTATATCGCAGTTCCTGGAATTCAACAACAAATTCGCGTAACGTGTGTATTGTAGGTGTCTATAGAAATGCTAGTTATGAATAAAAACCAGGTCAAAGTGCGATTATTGTTCACCCGTTTGCCCGTTAGTGCGACAAAGCCCATCGATCGACCCAATGGCCATCGCTTTGGTGACCAGTGTATCAAAACACGCCCACATTCGAGTTCCTTACCGAAGTGCAGAAAAAATCCTTTACAGAATACGAAGATCTGTTCTTAGCATAATCAGAATTTTTAAATAACCCACTTTTTGATTACCAAGTGAATTACTAAACTGTGTTCTACCTCCCAAACTGATAGCGCTACATGGGCACACGAATGTTCACAAGTTGTATTCTGAACATAACATATTATCAAATTCATGATTCCAACACAAAGTTTACCAATGAGATGATCACTCACTTTGTATTCGAGCGGTTTGAACAAATTCTCCACGCGCTCGCAACTGATCAAATTCGTCCGGTGTAACATGTTCAAAATGATCACTTTCTGGCAAAACTGCACCGGTACTCAGAGAGTTCGTTAGTATTTCACTGTCCACCGAAGCGGAGCTCAACCGGGGACCTTTTCGTAAGCGTTTTGTGTCACGCTCATGTCCGGTTCGTTTTCTCTCACGAACCGCTTGCCACCAACTCGGTCTGTCTGTGTGCAATTTGAGTGCAGCGAAAAAATCTCCGGCTTTCTCAACCAACATCCGGGTTAGCTGATGCTTGAGCGATCCGGCCGGACCGATCAGGGCCAGAATCGGGTATGGTGTGGAGGTGGATTGCAAAGTGCTAACAACGAAAGACGTGGAAGGTCGTAAGTAGAAAGACAGATTCGGCAGAATAAACATCATTTAGCTTGAATCACAGCGTGCACATAAAAAACCGAGATTCATAAATAATGTTTTTTTATGACTGATTATCGCCCACCGAAGACATCGACTGGAGGAGTACATTTCGGAATGGATATGGCTGCTGTCCTATGTTACGCGCAAAAGTGAGACTTACCTAATAATGCTGCAAAGCGCCAGTTTCTTTAACGGTTAACTAAAAAATTAACACTGAGGTATGCCCTAGGTGCGGTCACAGTGAGCAAGATCAGATACCTCAGGATTATCGGGACTTCGATCTCCAGCAGTCCGAACCAATCTCGTGGAGAAATCTTTAGACTGTTTTCCCATTTTACAAGGCGTTTCTTTTTTCTCAGCTCAAAAGGTAGTCCATACCCCATCAGTACACCCATTTCGCCACAGCTGGCATTCCAAAGCTCGCCTTTCTTGTCTTTGTCATTGCTCTGAACCGGGCTGTAATCAGCCAATCAAGTGCCTTTACCACTCTCTTAGTGAAGATAATCGCACAATGCAAATCCAGTGAAAATGCCCTCGCAACAGAGCAACGGTCGCTTTCCAAGGGTACAAATAATTTGTGAATGTCATTAAAAAATACAGGAACTGCATAATTCTCGATGGGTATTGGAGCAGGGTTCACTCAAGTTCTCCAGTTCCAATTCATTTCCGTTCAGTTCACACAAGTCGGAAGATAACCGCTGCCTGGATTTAGGTTAATAGCATTTCATAATTTCAGAGACAAATCAGTTTAGTTAAGTCAAAATTCGGTTAGTTTCTCTGTACCATAATGAATTTTATTATCAGCATTCAATGTTTCATCAATGTGGGTGTTTTGGTTACTGATAAATTGCAGAAAATAGGGTTGGGTTAATACCATTTTATGGAACACATTTGAGACGAGTGTAGGACATTTGAGCCCAAAAGGTTAGTTGAAAGCAAACCTGTAAAAATGAAAGATAAAACGAATATTGTGGGATAGTAAGACTGTATTTGCACGATGAAAGCATTGACTTTATCTGCATTCATTGAATCGTTCAAATTGTATTACCAAAAGCATCGCATTCTATTTATACCTAAACTGTAGATCGCAAGCTAAACGTTATCTTCGTTCAGATTGGGAGATTGCGTCACTTCTGTGTTTATTTGTTTGTGATAGAATATATATATATATAACCAATCTTTACAGATTAGGCGCCAAAAATAACCATGGGTTAACGAAAAATATGCCTACAGAAGCGGGGAAAACAAAACAAAACTGGAGGGAATAACAAGTTTTTTGTTTGTTTACTGCACGCGATGCTCGCACCATACGCAGGCGATGCTACGCAGTCAACTTTTGTCGAATATGGATGGTCGTTGGACGTGATCTGCTCGGAGAGGCCAGGTCTCGCAGCCACTGAGCACCACGATGCGTACCGTGAAAGGGATATATCGCGCCTGCGCCAAAGATGCCGCAGATTAGCAAACGCTAATCTAGCTTTGATCAAGCGTTGAGAGATCTCCTCACACACACACCTCCGCCAGCCGTTATGCAACTCCCAAGGTAGACAAAGTTTTCGACTACTTTCAGAGTGTCATCACCGAACGAAATGTAGCAATGTGTTGTCCCTATACCACTTTATTGCTCTNGATATATATATATATATATATATATATATATACGTCTAATCGAAATTGAAGCAACGAGTCTATTCGTATAGGTAACAGCATTTATACTGAAGTAAATTTTTTTCTAAATAATAATAAACAAGCCTTGGTGAGTCTTTAGAGACGTGATTTTTCTGAATCGTTTATACTCAACAGATGGAATGGTTCAGAATGTTGCGGATTCTCCCATTTCGTCAGAAGCGGTTGATCTAGACCATGATGAGTTAGGAAGTAACTAAAGAGAATGGAACAGTTTTTATTAACAATAAATTAACATTGATACTAAGTAAGATGTAGAGTTTGTGTACACTAATAGTCGATTTTTCCGTCTTTAATCTTTAAGACTTTTTCGAGTCTCTTCGGCATCGAATCCACCAACTTTGTTATGAAGTCATTTTTTTATTTTGT